AGTGTTTGAAAAGGAAAGGAAAGCGCATTCTACCGTCCTTCCCAGTCTAAACAGCCCCCCTTTCAGCTGAAGAGGCAGAAAACGAATGAAGGCTGTACGCTTCCCAGAGTCAGCATGCCCCACAGCTAGAGTCTGGGACAGCCCGTGCACGCTGCAGATCCTTCCGCCTGGGATTGGACAGGTCCCCAGGGAGCAAAGGACCTGGAGCTTGTGGGTGCAGCTCAGGCAGTCAGAGCTGTTGCTCCAAAATACAGTCTGGTCATGACCAGAGAGACAGGTCTTATTCTGCACATCTGTGCTCCACCAAGCATTAGCGAGGCACAAATGCATAGAGGGCAGCATTTTTTTAAATTGCTTTTTCTGTATATCACGAATCCTAACGATCCCACAAAAAAACTGCTAGCACTGATAGATAAATTCAGTAAAGTAACAGAATACAAAATAAATATCCAGAAATCTGTTGCATTTTTATATACCAATAATGAACCATCAGAAAGGCAAATTAAGAGAACCATCACATTTACAATTGCGTACAAAAATACCAGGGTGATGGGTTCTGAGAGGAGAACCCCACAGTGAAGGGCCCTTCCATCCCCTCAGAACCAGGGTCACGTGTCAGCAAGACTTACCACTGTTGACCTTGACCTGAGCCCCTGCCTGAGGGTGTGGGTCAGGTTTCTTCCGCTATTTCCAGCACCCACCTGGCACCATACATGCTGTCCGGCCCACAGGAAAGCGCAGGGAGCCATTCTCCATCTCCTGAGGCCAGGGTGTCTACATACATTATCTGGAATTTTTCTGTGCAGATAAGTTGTCTCTTCTCCCCTATATTTATTTAACCAGTCATTTCTTTAGACCCATATGGTCTCATGGACATTTTCTTTTACTCTTTGGCTTACAATCCAAATAACTGCCCGGCGTTGGCGGTGGAGAGCCCTTCCGGTTGACTGCCATGTCCGTTGGAAAACTTCTTGCTGCATCTAAGCTCTGCAGCCACCCCATGAAGAGTGTGGCTCATATCCCAGAGCGTGTAAAACCGGGTGACCCCGGACGAGACCCGCCCTCGCTCTCAGCTGTGGCTTTCCCTAATGGAAAGACAATATCCGTTATGTTCTCTCAGGGAGCCCTCCGGCACTGGGGCGCTCTGACTTTCTGTGCTAATGCGCAGATGTGTTTGTGCCCACGATTCCCAGAGCTAAACGGTTGTTGTTGTTGTCTGCACTCCCTGCTCCGGTTGCTGGATTTTCGGTGCCTGGTGATCGATGCCCCTCCTGGCGGGTTCCCAGGCCGCTCCGGGAGGAGACGGGGATGGACGCGCTCGGCGGCCCAGCAGAAGACACGTCCTGTGAGTTCCCACACGTGCAGAAAGGGGTGCTCTGCCCGAGCCTGTAGAAATGCCAGGGGCTGTGACTGCTGAGTGGCACGTCAGGAAAGGGGGTAGCTCTGCTCCGAGGCCTGCAAGGAAAGCAGCTGCGGTGGGCGCGAGACGTGTGGGCACCGTCATGAAGTCGGCACAGTGGTGCTGCTGGGTGTCCTTGAGCTGGTTACCCAACCTCTCTGTGCTTCCAGTTTCTCATTTACTAAATAGAGGGAGTGAGCCTACCACACAACGGGGTGCAGCTCCCACCGGGTCAGGAAGTGGAGAGGAGGAGAAAGAAAGGAAAAGCACCTGTTTTGTTTTGTTTTGTTTCTGTTTTCCTGTTTCCCCACAGCCCCTCCCAACACGCTGAACTTCAACGGAGCCCACCGCAAGCGAAAGACGCTGGTGGCCCCGGAGATCAACATCTCCCTGGACCAGAGCGAGGGCTCCCTGCTGTCGGACGACTTCTTGGACACCCCCGATGACCTGGACATCAACGTGGATGACATCGAGACCCCCGATGAGACGGACTCGCTGGAGTTCCTGGGGAACGGCAATGAGCTGGAGTGGGAAGGTGAGTGAGCTCGGGGTTTGCTCACGGCACCTGCCTGGCCCCAGGTCGCACTCAGTAGCCCTACTGGCTTCCGGGGCCAGCTTGGTAGAGCAATTCCTCCATCCCTGCAGGCTCGGGTAGGGCAGGTTCCCCAACTCAGGGCTCACGGCACATCCCCAGACCCTCCTGCCCCTGCAACTCCATGCATGTTTTTCTTGTAAACTTGGTTTTTTCTGGGGGAACATGGTTCTGACAGAGACCAAAAGAAAGTGCCTCCAGCTGACCCCACGCGTGTTTGTGGGGCATTTACTCAGGAGCAGGTCTCAACTGCGACATGGGGTGTGGAGGGAACATGGCATGAAGAGCGGGTGCTGCCTGCACGCACACTGGTCAGAGACAGACGCTAGGCAATGAGAGAACGGAGTGTGAGGTCGTAGCAGCTGGTCATCAGTGCTGTGAGCACCTTAGGGGAGGTGAAGGCCTGGGGTAGGGTCTCACCTGAGGGGCGATTCAGTCCCCCAAAGAACACTGGGCAATGTTTGGTGACATCTGTGGAGACCAGGGGTGCTGCTCAACACCCCACAGTGCCCAGGACGGCCCCCCCACCCCGAGAATGATCCAGGCCCAAATACCCTAAATCAGGGGTCCTCAAACTACGGCCCGCGGGCCACATGCGGCCCGCCGAAAACATTTATCCGGCCCGCCGGGTGTTTTTGCTGCCGCTGTGTGCACAGGAATTTGTTCATAGTTTTTTTTTTAAACTATAGTCCGGCCCTCCAACGGTGTGAGGGACAGTGAACTGGCCCCCTGTTTAAAAAGTTTGAGGACCCCTGCCCTAAATGCTCAGGGTGAGACCCCTTGAGCTGGGGGAGCTGGGTGTGGGGGGCTCCTTTGGAAGGGTGGTCAGGGCAGGTCTCGCTGGGGGGATGTTAGTTGACCTGACATCTCAAGACAAAAGCACAGGTCAGGTCAGAAAGCCTGTGATGGCGGTGGCCACGGGAATAGGATCAGAGCCGCAGAACCTGCTGGTGGGTGTGGAATATAAAGGGAGGAAGGAGCCAGTGGTGATGCCTGGGGTTGGTGGGGGCCTGAGAGTCACTTCCTGAGGCAGGAGGCCCGCAGGGCAAGAGGTGGGAACC